GGTTTTTCAGTGCCTCTTTGTGCTGTGTATACCATGTATGCTTCATGTGCGAAAATCTGATGGTCGGGGAGATGCGTTACTTTAAAAAAGAAGAACAACCACCCACCCAAAAAGCAAAAAACCAAACAACCACCATAAAAACACCCCCCAAACCAGAAAGTAAACCCCCCCCAAACCACACAAACCTCCTAAACTCCATGTAAATAATGCATTAAAGGTACAAATTAAACACTCGGAATTGCTCAGGTTGGCACCAGCAATTATAGCACCTAAGGGTGCTATAAACATCCTGTGAAGAGAAAATGCTGTTCCGTTGTTTTAATGACTGTTCTGTGTATGGATATTTCTTGAACTGATGAAGTGAAATTTATTTCACTGGATGATTGAACAGATTCATTTGAGAAATTCTTAATGTTTTAGATGGGTATCTTGCCTGCACATTCAAATTGTCAATTCAAATTATGTGAGAATCACTCTTCACAAAAGCGACAGCTTATGGTGAAATGATAAAATACCTTAAGAAATTAACATTCTGAAATGTGAATGCATGCTGCGAAATCGTAGTGTGCCTAAATAGTTCAGCTGCCTCCTGCGAAAACTCGCACGTCTGTAGGCTTCATGACAGTAATTGGGTAACTGATGTTACTTAGAGGAACTTTTTAGAGTTAGGTCTTAGTTTTGTAGAGTTTTGATATGTTTAACAATTTTAGTTGAACAGATTAACACAATTAAATTACTACCACCGTGATATCTTAAGTTTTTGGAATAGAGAGACTTTGGTGTTTTTTAGAGCAGTATTTCTGTTGCCAGTCATAGTCACAAAGATAGAAGCTTAATATCATTGAGTTGGTTTGGAACTGATTTACTGTTTTACTTTACTGAATGCTTAAATTTTGTTTTAGAAAGAAAAATTAAAATCTGAGGTTTCGTTTCAGAGCATACAGGCCCAGTGTTATGAGCACACCCAGATTTTGCAGTGGCTACAATGGTACTATGTTGTGTTCATCATCTGTCCTCAGAGATCCCTTAAAAGAGTATGATGTCAGCCAAGTGTTTTACACAATTCTGTTGGAGCTGCTCTGATGTCAGTGGGATAAACAAAAGGCTCCTGCGGATAATTCATCTAGACCCCCCTAAATTCTCTACAGGGTGTGAAGCATAATGGTTCCCCTGACATTAAATTACATCCGGATAAATCAATCCAGCTGAAACTTTAAAGATGCTGATTTTTTCTTTTTTCTTTTTTTTTTTTTTTTTTTTTATTTAATTGACTTGTATTTGGTGAATTGCCTTCTTTGGTTTCAGAGTTGCATAGCTCATTTTTTAGCCTTTCATTCTTCTTCTTCATTACAATGGTTGCAGTCTGTAAAAAGTAAAATAAAGATTGCAGATATTAGCCATTAACCAAAGGTGAATGTTTTAGTTGTGGAATGGCTTTTAAAAAGTGGATAGGGAGGCTTACGTGTGATGAAAAGGGAAGATGAAGCACAAAAATACGTGCTGTCTGTTGCCATACTCTGCAAGATGTCACAGCTGGAAATAGTCTTGGGCTGTATTTTTCAAGTCGTTTATTCTGTCTGTTGGATCTCTCTCTGCCTGAAGTGTGTTGGAAAAATGCGTTATGTACGCTGATTCACAGGAAGGGATGTCTGTAGTGCTTTGCTTTGATTAGCAGGACTGTACTCTGAAATGTTTTACTGGTGTTGCAGAACATCCGTTAGAAGTAAGAAATAATTGGGGAAAGCGAGTTGTTCTTGATTGTTGAACATACAGATTTTTGCCACAGTTTTCTGTTACAGAAATGAGACTCTAGAAACTTCATGGCTATTCATTCTCAAATGAACGGTTATTAGTCCTTTTGTAGCAGAAGTTTAATAAATAGATTTTAAACATGTTTCAAGGAAGAGCACTGTCATGATCTTCGCGTATCCTTTAGATAGAGCTTATAATAGCTTTATGAGGTTTCAGTCAGTGTATTTATAATTATGTTACACAAACCTAAAGCAATGGATCTGTAATTTAAAACTTTGATGTAAAAATTCTGTTCTTTTGACAGCTGTTTGTAATACACTGTAAACAAATCACGTTGTCTGTAATAGCAGTTCTTTGCAGGGGGACGACAGTGTTTCACATGATTACAATAAAATAATTTTAAAAATCAGTCTTAAATCTTTTGCGATTTTAGAATACCAGTAAAGATTGTGGTGCCCCCATCTGTCGTCTCATTCCCTGTCTGAAGGTACATTGAAATTTCCGAAGTGGAATTTTAATTCTGAAGAAGATAAATTCACTTGGCAATTACATTAAATTTTGTTTGTTTCATTTCGCTAGTGAGACACCTAGTAGTTATTGGAATTTTTATTTTGGTAGCTTTCAGTTTTGCAGCAGTGAAGCTGGCTTAAGTAATTTCTGGCTGCGTTTGTAACTGGATTGAAAATACAATCTAGAGTAAAAATAACCTTAAAATTGTTGGGTGTTTTCAAACCCGTTAATTAAAATGATTCATGCTCATGCTGTGCTTTTCTTTCTATTAAGAAAGTGGAAGAAAAGGTATGATGTTTATAGATGTACTGGATAAATTAAGTAAACAATGATTACAGAAAGTATTTGTATTTTTTTGTAATAAGTTTTTACATGTAGTTGATGCATTTATTATATTCTTCCCCTTTAGCCTCCTCCTAAAACACAGTCGACTTTTACCTGCAGAGTAGTCTAAGAGCACTCATTTTGAATTTTACAGACTCTGAAACAGCTGTAACCAGAGTGCATGGGACTAGGATTGCAGCATCTAAATTGAATTGCTAAGAATTCTGTAAAATAACAAGTCGTCTCTAAAAATTAATCCTTTTTTCTTTCAAAACTGTAGGCTTTAGTTGTATCTAAACAAGTTTATTAGGTGAGAATCTGTTAAGTATGGAACTTTCACATTTTAATACCATGTCCCTTTAGAATAACTAGCAAAGCAGCATCAATTGTAATGCTGTTTGTGGAGTAAATTTTTTTCAGGCTATTAATTCCTTTTAATATATGTTACCTTTGGCAGCCTGTTTGAACTGTTTGTACAGTTTGTATATACAGTGTATCAGATTAAATTCTTTTGAAGGCACTTGGGTTACAACAGTTACAGTTATAGCAAAGTGGTGTTTAGAGAAAACACAGATATGCATTGAAATAGACTTTTTACTGTACTAGACTTTCAAAACAGGGGCAAGTAATTAGTCTCCACTGCACTAGGGAGGGACTACCAGTTATAATGTGTGTTGTTGTTGCTGCTGGTTAAGCAGCAAGTTTTACTTGGAATACTGACTTTAATTAAAATATCCTGCCTTCATTACACCACGTACATGTATTTTTGGTTGCAAGAAACTGATAGCTCTTCAAAAATAAAGACTATGAAAATGTAGGTTACCTTCTCCAATACTGTTTTCAAAGAAGATGGTACATTCGTGATCCCTTGATATTCTGTATTATAATAAAGCCATTTAGAGTTTAAATAGTTGTAATTTATTAGTCCTCTTCTTTTTTTACAGCATACATAACAAAAATAAAAATCTACTTTATGTGCTGGTATAGCATTTAGGAAGTGATTGAGTCATCAGTTACATTTGCCACCCCTCACAATTCAACACCCCCTACCCCCTCCCCCCCCCAAATCATAATGCTCAAACTTCTGTGTAGTTGCTTGTAAAAGCAGGGCTTAATTATGCTTGTGAGCAGTGTATTTTGACAATTAATGAGTAAAACCAGTCCTCATTATATTTTATTGTACTTAAAACATTGTTAGTTGGGTTGGAATCTGGCCAGTAGGGGTTCTTCGTAAACTCTGGCTGATGCATTTCTCTGGATGTAACAGTACAGTCTTGTTGTTTCAGGGCATTAAGCTTTGTTTAAAAATTAATAAATGAACGACTGCTTTAATCTTCCAAATGTAGAGCAGAAAGACAACTTGTACCTTAGTATCTGCACAAACACTAAAAGTCATGCTGTAGTCAGGCATGTTGGTCAGTCTGTCTTGACCTTGTTTACACGTTCTTACCACTGTCATGAGTGATACTAAGCTGAGCTTTACTGAATTTTGATATCAGAAATAAGAACATATTATCTCGGTGTGTGTGTTCTACTTTAGTGTTATTAATTTATTTTCTCAAGAAAATAGTATTATATTGAAAATAATGTTTTTCAGGGTTACTTAAGATTACCAGACTTTAAATGGCCATTTTGCCATGGTGGAGATGACGTTTAGGTGTCCACTGCCTTAGAACAGTATGGACGTTACTGTAGTTAGATAAATGTGGTACTTGAAAGTGGCTTCCTATCTTGCATGTGTCAGTTTTCTGACAAAGGAATGAATCTGTTTTGGGTTTGTCATCATTCGCCGTCTCAGCTTCCAGTATCCAAGACCTAAATCCCACAATTGTTTCATGAGCTTCCATGAGCTTTGTGAGACTTTCCACATGTTCTAGCTAGGAGAGTGTAGTGTAGTAACTAGCTCTTCATCAGGAGTTCTTCCTCCACCCCACCCCCCCCCTCTCTTTTGCCTGCAGTTGTCTTTACTGTTGCTTGCTTGAATGGTGTAACTGTCTGGTCAAATGCAAGCTCTCCTTTTCAATTAAAAAAAATACAAAGAAAAATAGAAGTTCTTTATGTTTTCTAAGCTAGACAGTTGATGGTTAGTTTGCAGAAAGGAGATGGGAAGAGATATGAAATATACCTTTGTTTGTCCTGTACCCTGAAAATCTTTGGTAGACTCTGTATAACTGAACGCTTGTGCCAAAACAAACTCCTTATTGGCTCGTTATTAGTATATTAACTGCACATAGCAAGTTTAATATATTTTAGTGCATTAGATGTATATTTGTAGGTACTTGAAATGGGCTTGTCATACATTTTGAGGAAGAGAAGATCTCTAATGACCATATTTTAGCATTAATTGAAATAGCATGTTCTAGTTCTGAAGATAACGCATTCTTAAGTGACATCTATTTGCAATTTTTTTAAAGAATAATATTCAAGCATCAGAAGCTCTTAAAACTGAAACTGATGATTTGAAGAAGAAGCATGATGAGGCTGCTTCAAAAGTTCTCCAGCTTGAAGAAGATATCATGACTGTTACTCAAAAAGCAATTGCAAAAGAAACTGAATTAGACAGGTATTTAGTAATTTTGTCATTTAATTTCCTTATTTTACTGTTTATTTCCATAAGTGTTTTTTTAAAAACAATTTTTAATGTATGCATCGATTTTCTGTATCAACAGTTCTTTACTATTAATTTGTCAATGTTTTAGTCTGAAGGACAAACTGAAGAAAGCAATGCTTGAGAAGGATCAACTGGAATGTGTGTTAAAGACAGAAAAGGATGAAAAAGAACTTTATAAGGTAACTTTATTCCTTGTAGTTGTATACACTGAAATGGTTTGAGATAAAGGTAATAATGTTTTATGGACAATTCTGATAAATTGAGTTTGTGAAGGAAAAAAGGACGTTGATAACTTCCGTGAGCAGATCTTTATAGATGTTCTCATATACAAATGAATGGGGGAAATAGCATGGGGGAAATAGCATCTGAATTCATCCCATGATACAAAAACGTCTCTAATGAGGAGAATGGATCACCACTTCCTTAAAATGCGGGCATAGTAACAAAGAAGAATAGATGCTAGTGAGGAAGTTCTTTAGTTATACAGTGCATCACCCTGTAACTGTTTTTTTTTAACACACTTTTTCGTAAGTAAATTACTTTTTACTCTTCTCTCTCCAGCCCGTGTTTTCTAGATCCCTGTTCCTGAGTCTTGTACATAACTCTGAGAAGCTTTAGTAGGATCTATATTATGTTGCTTTTTACTAGCATAGCTGATTTCTTTGCTGGTATTGAGACACACCCATATTTAAAAGAAAATATAGTGTTGTCCATCCACGCCCCTCCCCAAGTCTTACATGCTAAAATAATGAAATCCTTAGGTTGTATGAAACAAATCAGGTGTATGTAACAGATTGTCTCTGCTCAAAGGAAAATGTTGTTATGTGGCAAACAGTATTAAGTATGCACCGAAAGTCATAAAATCTCAAAACATCTTTCACAAGCATGGAATCCTTTTGTAAATAAACAACACAAATCTTCTAGTTTTTGAGTGGACAACACCCAAGTGCAACAGTTATCCTTTATTAAGTATAATGTGATAGAGTTGATGACATCATAAAAACAGCTCTAGAGGTGTTAAAGTAGTTAGCTGTCTTTGGAAATGAATATTTCTGACATAGTCCTGTTTGGCTAGATGATTGTAAGTAGATGCTACTAGAACTTTACTTTCTCTTTAGTTTTCTTCAGGTCATTTCTTTTTTGCTTGTCCTTAGTTGTCCAGCATTTGTGAAGAGAGGAGTGAGTTCTTGATTGCTTAATTTGATGCGGACAGAAATCAGGACCTTAACTTATGGCTGTAGAGTGGAGCTGTTCTTTGATGATCAAACTGAAAGAATTCCAGCCAGAAAACTTGTGCTGGAGGGCAGTGATGATATCGGATGTTTAATTTTTCTCTTTACGTGTTCTAATCTGTCTCGGAGATGAGTTAGTATTTAGTGAACACTTAAATGGACAGGTGAACAGTAGTTTCCATAACGTGGAAGAAGAGTTTGACGTTTTTTAGCATCATTACAGATACACTTGAAGAATACAGAAATAGAAAACACCAAACTAGTAAAAGAAATCCAGACGTTTAAGAATTTGGATGCAAACAAAGAAAACATGATATCCTATTATAAAGAGGAGGTTGGCAGATTACAGCTATTTATAGCTGAAAAAGAAAATATGAAGAAAGCTTTTTTGCTCTCCTCATCAAACAAGGTAAGCATTACTAATATAATTGGCCTGGTTTAAAATAAACATATCTAAGGTTGTATGCGTTTGACAAGAAAAAGGAAGAAGTTAAAGATATCACCAGAATATATAGGCTGAGAGGCAAGAGGATTATGATGTTCTCAGTAGATGCAGGAAATGAGCAAAAGAGTGAATTCAGTTTGTGTTGCCCATTCTGAGCTTGTTGAGATGTCTCAGATGATGAACTGTGAGAGGAACTATGTGTGAAAAAGTAGTTTGTGAGTTCAGTTAAAGTGCACTAGTAAAGTGGCGCGCTCCTCTGAGTTGCTTTTAACTTCATGAAAAAGGAAGGAGACTGAGGAAAAGAGGAAAGTGAGGAATGTAGGTATGTTGAGATTGCAGAGGGTGATGCAGGAGAAAAGAGACTTTGAAAGATGTGCTGAAGGACTTGTTAGGTGAATGTATTGTCAAGGTACAATGATGTAAAACCTGAGAAAGGATAAGGTACCGTATGTATGGACTAAATTGCCTGAGAACTCAGCAATAAGAGTGCCAGTAGGACTTCTAAGGAAGAGGTGATTTTTGCTATGCAGTGTGGTAGCATTGTGGTTAGTAAGCAGTGTGGTATAGTAGGATAGTGAAATTGCTGAAGAACTGGTGTCTGTGCTGTCCATGGACCAAGTGGGGTTACTTCAGCCTAGTTTTAGTGTGGTGTTATGGATAGAATACCCATTAGGTGTTTGTTCCTGATGTACATCTTTCGTTTCATCCAAAAGGAATGCGGTTTCAGTGCCCTGAGACTGTTCTGTCCTGTGATCCATAGCATGATAGGTAATAGTGGAATTGACTGGGAGTTTTGCTTCACAAAGGTGCTCTTGATCCAAACCAGAGAGTTAATTTAGACACAGCCTTTGAGGCCAGCATGGAAAAGTCAGATTATGCAGGTGACTTTATCTTGTTTATCTTGCCGGTCTTCTCACAGGAAAAAGCAAGCTAGATCTGGAAAGAATAGAAATTGCTTTAAAATAATGTGAGTTATGAATGTAAAATTTAAGTAGAAAAATAGTACTGTTGAGAATGGAAATAGCAAAAGGACAAAAAGAACATGCTATCTTGCTTCAAGTTTCAGCTTATCTTTTCTTCGTCTTTTGACTGCTCTGCACTTTTGTTTCTGAATGTGTTAAACTACTACTGTATTTTACTTGAAATAAAAACATGGAGGGTGTGTGTGTGTGCCAGTACTGAAGCAACCAAACATTTATGTAATTTATTAACTTTGAAGTGCTTGTGATGTTTTTGGTGGGATCATTAACAATTTTGTGTTACACTGTGAAACTGCAGATGTTTACTGAAATATGCAACTGATGCATTACGTGCTGTAACAATAGCTAAGGGACAGGACTTTAGGGCATTTCCTAGTCCATCCATCTTCATAAATGTTTACAAAATATATTAGTATTCCGCTGGACTTGTTTATGCTAAGTGATTATTCAAAAATTAAGAAATAATGGACTAGAGATGCCTGAGTTTATGTCTAGACTCAAGAATATGAGATGATTTATGCCTTCAGGAAGCCCAGAGGCTGCGAAGTAGCTTACAGTAGCTTTGAAATCTTTTTTTTTTTTTTTTTTTTGTGATTCTGGGCTTCTCTGAGGAATGAGAGGCCAGTAGTGCAGCTTGGTCAGTTGGTCCTTGGGCTGCCCTAAAGAGCTGCAGCAGTGCTGAGACTCTTGGTGCTGCATGCTGCAGCTTGCTCTTCATTACTCTTTGTTCTCAGTTCCTTCTGGAGAGCTTGTTGTGCAAGATCTTGGGAAATGGAGCTGTGAGAAAAACATCCCAAAGCTGCTTTACAGTGTCTTACGTCAACCAGTTGTAGGCATTGTAAGACCGCTTACTCTGTTGTTACCTGCAGTGTCTTACTGTGGGGTGAACTTTGGGTTTGAAGCTGGATGGCCATTTGTGCCTGTTGGGAGTTCTACGGTGATAAGAACAAAGATATTCTGGAAAACAGAAATACTTTTCTTGGCATATGTTTAAAACTAAAGCTGAAAGTACAGCAAAAACCCAGTATAGATAAAATAATAATATTTAATTTTGCCTTTATGTCATAGTAAAATGTATTTGAACACCATTGTTAGCAAAGATGGCAAATGGGGAAGATGGTACTTGTCTACTGACTTCTTGATTTAGTGATTTTGCTAAAGCCACCAGGAAAACTTGGTGTTTGTTTCAAATGTTTTTAATCCCTATACCAACCTTTATTTAAGTTTTGAATTAAAAAATGATGGATTCTCTTCTCTCTCTTCTCTTTCCCAGGAGGAGGCAAGTATTTTAAAAGAACAGCTTCGGAAAGCTGAAGATCAGATTCAGGCTAGCAAACAAGAAGCTGTTCTAATGTCAAAAGAGCTGAGTGATGCAGTAAATGTGCGAGATAAGACGATGGCAGATCTTCATAGTGCACGTGTGGAAAATGAAAAATTGAAAAAGCAACTTGCTGATGCTTTAGGTGAACTTAAAAAGATCACGGCTTTGAAAAATGAACAGGTAAATTGTCAGTATTTAGTACTGAAGTTTATCTGTATTTGTAAAATCTATCAGAGCTAGTTTTGCTGAAGTTGGGGAATAAAATATGTTTCTGAATGATTAGTACAAATTATTATCAAACTGTCTTGCGACGCTCAAGGTACTACCTTAAATCAAGTACATGTTAGCTGATTTGGAAGGTTGGTAAGAAAGAACGTTCCTGCTACTGCGTACAGCAACTCCTTTCCACCCGCGGATTATTTTCACAGAATAATACAGTAGTTATCTATATTGTTTTGAATTCTGTTGGTTTCTTAATTCTGTGAGCCACAGTAGCATTAAAAATCGATTCAGATAGGAAAATTGATTGATAAATTTTTTAAAATAATGTTCTTTCCTCATTGATGGATTCTCTCTTGATTCTTATGGGTCCTTCCAATATTTGTGGTCAAAGTTAATTTGTTTTGGTATTTATAAGTATAAAAATATTAATGTAATGGAAACTGTCTTGACTTTCTTTGTCTTGGATAAAAATCTAGTGAACTAAGATAAGTTTCATCATTCTGACTCAAGTGAGCTTTGTACTGGATCTTCTGTGACTGCAGCTGTATTTGATTAATTCGCTACTGGGATTACTGTAATGATGTAGTAGTTTGAAAAAATATATTGAGGTAAACAGTCATTAATATGGTGCAGCAAATACGAAGTCAATAGTACAACCCTCAAAAGAACTATTATATTTAAAACATCCAAGAATTACATGTTTTTTCTAAGAATTTAAATTATATACAATGTCTTTGAAATGCATCCTGAAAGTAGCTGCTGATCATCGGAATGACTCCAGTTACCAGAAAGGAACCGAATACGGCGTACATCCAATTGGTAAATGTAGTTTGCTTAGCCTCGTTTATCAGTGTTGCAGCTCAACTGAACCACTTCTAGTAGAAACATAGTGAGTGTGATGGAATACAGTTATGGTCATTTTTGCCATGTGGCTATACTTGTCTATAAGATAGCTAGAACACCACCTAGACGGTGTTCAGACATTAGGTATAGGTTCAGACTTTTGGTATACATTAATCTGCCCATAGAATGAGAATCCTCTTTAGCTGCCTCTGGTATTATACCAGTGCCTATTTACTCCCTCAGTGTGTCCTGTTGGGAATGAAGTGTAGCACAGATGCTCCCTCTATCTGTGCTCTACTACTCTATTCCTCTCCTTCCCACAAAGAAAATAGGAACTTCTTCTGTACTGACATAGAGCATTATGCTTTCTTTAATTGAAAAAAGGCTTTTTGGGAAATAGTGGTATTCGAACAAAAGGGAGAACAGTTTCTAATTTTTTTTTTTAAGGAAACTTTAAACACAGTAGAGCAGGAACTACGCAGAGAAGTTGAAGATCTGAAGCTTCGTCTGCAAATGGCTGCTGACCACTACAAGGAAAAATTCAAAGAATGTCAAAAACTTCAAAAACAAGTAAACAAGTTTACAGAACAGGCAGTAAGTAGAATGGAAGAAATTGCTCTTGCTTTTTGTAACTTTTCAGCAATTATTTAATTTCCTTCTGCAAAAACCAGTGCTTTTAAAAAGGATTAAAACATACAGTAAGCAGTGGCTCTTGTAATTTACAATTTTCTTCCATAAAGCTAAATTACTTCTATGATTCCTTTTAGATAGTTGCTGAAACCAAGCATAGTATTTATAGTAACTGGTGTATGTAGAAAGCTGGCAGAGCTCCGATGAACCTATAAGCATAACATTGTTCAAGGAAGAATTTTGAAACTAAAGCAGGGAAAAATCTGTAATTGTTGCCTCTATTCAGTACCACCACCACAAAAAAAAACCCCATTCAAACCCAAAAGTGGGGGAAATGGAGAACTTGGAGGAGGATTTCAAAGTGAAGCAGGGAGATAGTTTCTGCAAAATAGTGTATAGATGTATTCCGTATGTGTTTTGTGTTCTTACCACTCTTCTAAGCTTTGCTCCATAAATGAGGCTTTTGCAATGATGATGTGAGTCTTACGCCACCTAGTAACTCAACCTGTCAGTGAATTTCAAACAGATTTGAGAGCAGAGTTCTTCAGAGTTTTGTGAAAAGTAGTGACTGAGTGGGAGAGGAGCTCAAACAGGGAAAAGGTGTTTGAGCAATGGAAGATGTACAAATGTGAATTCTTGAGAAAAACAGATATAAGTATTTGTGCAATCCACAGAATAAATGGGGCAACTACCCATCTTTGATCCACAGATTACTTTAAAAAGTTGTCTTCTCATCCAGAAGGTCAATGGTGAATGAGGTGTCATATCGGAATGCTTGTGGCTTTTCCTTAAAAATCTTCCACATGTTTGGCTTTGTTGTATATCTGATAAGAAACACCAAATTTCACTACATAGACAGAGGAAGTCCAGCACTCATTGGTAACAGAGAGTCCCATTTTCTAATGGAATATTAGATTTAAGTTGATGGACTGAAGTGTAACTGATTCTCTAGAACATGAGATGTTTCTCGTAATTTGTGTAGAGATTACTGTTTCTAGGGAAAAAGAACTTTGTAATGTAAGATTATAAAAATCATAGTCTGAGGCAATTTCAGTGTTAGTAGAATTAAATGTGTTTACATTTTATTATTGCTGCCTGTTTTGATGAGCAATTCCGACTAGTCCAATTTTGGAGGAGATGATAGTGCAAGATATACATTGCTTTTTGCTTTAGCTTTCATTTAATTGAATACCAAAAAAAATTTTTTTTCACAAAGAAAATTGCAGGGCATCAGCAGAAACTGACAGATGCATCTAATGTTGAGACAGCTACTGCCGTCGTTACAGACAAAAAGTTGTCTGCATCTCCAGGTATTGACACCTTAAATTTTGTCTTATATGTTTCAGCCTGAAAGTGTTGTCTATGTGAAGTAGCCTCTAATAGTATGTATAGTGTAAGTCTAGTATATAGTTATGTTTTAGTTAAAGCAATGATCAGAAGCATGAAAATTCCTCTGAAAATCTTGTGTCTTTTTTCAAGTGGTAACATTCATAATGTCATGTATCTTTTCAAAGCTGTTCAGTTGATACTTGTTAATGTCAGTAGGACTGAACTCTTGAATTTCTGCTTTGTAGTTCACACAGAGCTGGTTTTGCCAAGCATATAATCAATTCATTAAAAAAAATACTCCCCAAATTTGCAAACTGTGTACAATAGCATGGTAATTTTGCAGTTATAATGTGTTGTAATGACTGTCCAGTGTAGCATTCTACTGTAAAAATCCCCTGAAAAGTTTTGATCATGTGATGGCAAGGTGAAGTCTATAGACTATTCTTGTGATTTATAGGCAGTAGTGGTTTATTAGAAAATATTTAGGTTATAATTTTTATGAATTATTCATTTCTTACAAAACTGATCTTCTAAAACATACATAAAATAGGTTAAAACTAAGCCGGGTTTATGATTCAATTTAAATTGATAGATGTCAGTAAATACTGAGTAATTTTGTGTTACTTTATAATTCACAGATTCTTTCTGTTTATAGAGATTATAGGTTGTAATTTCTGTCAGTTTCCTCCTGTCTTAAGTAAATACAAGTGTTTCCTAAAAGAAATAAAATCCCAACACGCTCAGTTATAGTATGTGATGGGATGAAGTAGGTTGCTGAGGCACTTCATGTTTTTATGGGAAGAATAAAATATCTAGTGTGATATTGTAATGTATATGCTCTGGTGTTTACTTGCTTGGAAGTTAAGGGGAGAGATATGCCTCTTTTTTTCTTTTTCTTTTTCACATTGACCTTTGTGGTATGTATGTGTATTTTTATGTTCATCTTCAGTTGTGAACCACCTGAACACAGACATGCCAGTATGACTGCTGATCACTATGTAGCACTAGCCACGTGATACGGATTGTCTCTGTTTAACTATTTGTTTGGATAACATGGAGCGCACTATTCTTGGTGCACTGTCAAATTTGGACTGTCATCTCTCTTATACAAACTTTATGGAACAAAAAAATCAATATTCTTGTTTTTTCTTCAATGTTCACAGTTAGCCCCGTTTCATCTGATGTAGTTACGGAATTCATGGTAAAGGAGCAAGTACGTGAAATGCATAAAGAAATTTCTGAGAAAACAGAGAAGTATAAGAAATGCAAGCAAATGTTGGCAGTAAGTAAATGGCTGCTTCGGAAAGCTGAACAGAAAGTAGCTATAGGTGCTAAGTCTTAGAACCACAGAGCCTGCCTATCTGAATTGCTTTGCTTGTTTGGGTGAAACGCTGTGATGATGGTAGAAATCTTAACATTAGAAACCACATTTTTATTAAATCAGCTCTCGATTACCTGCGGTGTTAAAGAGTCCAGACAAGGACCCCTTAGCATAACCCAGATGCAGTAAAACAAATGAACTGAATAAAAACTACTTCTACTTTTTTTTTTTTTCATTGTATTTTAAGTATAATTGCTTTTATAAATCAAATACAGCATGTTTCTATAAGCCAGCTGATGTCTGGAACAAGTATAGCAGTGTTTATCTGATACGCTCTTCAAGTGAAGAACGCCCTCCAAATCTGACTGTCCTGGGCTTTTATGGTGTTTTGATGTCTGACTGGGTGCTGCCTGCAAGCTTGGGCTCAGCCATACATAAACGCATTTATATGCTTCTCTGGACCAAAGTTGGCCCCAGTAGTGCTGTAGCCACAATACTAGTGTCCTTCAAATATTAATACCTGTCAGTCCTAACTGGATTTTCATTTAACCAGTTTGGGTTTATGTAGGACAATGTATTGCGCCAGTGATGCTGGTGAAAAGATGACTCATGTAGAATTGTTTAAAAAATGCTCTCTGTGTGTTGTCTCTGTCCATTTGTTTGCTTGTTGATTTGGGGATTGAAAAAATAATATTAATCAACATTACGAAATCAGAACAGTTAGAATTAAGATCAGAGTTAAAAACTTAGCATTTTTCTGTCTTTCAATATGTTTTGTTCTCAAATAGTCATAATATGTTCACAAACTGCCATGATCTCAGTTTATCATCTTGTTTCTCTTATTTGTCACAAGGAGATTATTCTAATTTAATGTGCTCTCCAGGATGTAACAACAGTCATGTGATTCTGGTTATTACCCTGTCTTTGGAGAGCCTGCGTTAGCTTCTGCTGGCTATTTCTTCTATAGTGATGCCTGAGGAAAGCTTTGCCTTTGACCTTCTGGATGAAAGATATTTAGGTTGTAAAAGTTGCATGTGAGACACTTGAAAGGGTAATCATGATTATGGTGTAATATTAGGATACAAAGAAACTTGAAACTGTGAAGCTAAAGAGGAATATCAGCTTGTTGAACTCAGGCAAGGAAAAAATTTTTATTGAACATCATTTATGCAGTTTTTCAGTGGTCCTGTCCTCTTCAAAGTCTGGAGTCAGACTTGAGTTCTTGGGGAAGCCATTTGTAAATAGTCTTGTTCTAAAAGCATGGAGTTAGATGGTGTCGTTGTTGGGGGCGGGAGGGGAGATCTCTTAAAATTGTGAATATTTCATGCCATGGTATAAACTACTTTAGGAAGAGAAGATGAAATGCAGTGTTTATGCTGATGAACTAGCTAAACTGGAGCTGAAGTGGAAAGAACAAGTGAAAATCAGTGAGAGTATAAAATTACAGCTAGCAGCGATGGAGGATCAGTATAAAGTAAGTTACAAGTTTTGTTTATGGCAATGAACGGTATCCTTTTCTTAACACAGTTGATCATTGCTAATAGTTCAAGTAATGAAAAGTTTTAATGGGGGGGGGAACACTGTATGTATTTTTGCTGTAAATAGAAAATCCGCTTTGCACTTGCAGAAACAACAGTCTAGTAATGCTTCTTTTAAAGTAAGACAGACCTGCTACGTTGCCAGATGGTTATCAGTCTTTTAATGCTGTGGGTTTAGACAAATCTCTAGATGACGTGAATCTTGTATTACAGGGGAAAAAGGGATAGGGAGTTCTAGTTTCCTGTTGCTTACTATAGTACTAGCAGGAATATCGATTGGCATATTTGTCTAAATCTTCATAGTGCATGCTGCATTACCAGTGTAGTAATGTCTTGTGCATTTTATCTGAATTAGCTAAAGAGATACAAGATGAGTGATATATTGTTTTTAAAATCACCGTGAAAGAATTATTTTAATTCAGAGGATCTCGACTATAGTCTTAGTAGAGTGATGTAACATGCACCGGAAAGTCAGGCATAATGGGCAGCTTTAGCTTACATGGGGCCTTAATCTTTGAGGTTATGTAATAGTGATACATATATTGAAGTGGTTTTCTAGGTCAACAAGGACAAGATAAGAGGAACATATTGCCGTAAGACCAGCTTTTATGCTTGTTTTCAGTCTCATAGTGATAATGTAGTTGACAAGATAGAATACTCTGTTGCCCATTTTTGCCCATTGCGATGAACAGGGCTTAAATTAGACTGTGACTGTATCAGTTCTAGTAGGAACCCCCTTCTGTTAGAAATTACAGCACTTTTTCTTTATAAAATACTGAATTAGCTCATTTCAGCACTCTGTAGGCCTTGCCGCCCTTTTTCATCACTTTTCAACCTTTAATTTCAATTTTATAAAACGCATGACTCTTTCCAATTTATTAAATTTAGCAGTGGTCCGTTGCCATGCATCACAATGTAAAATAAGTTTGTCTTTAACTTCTGAACAGCAGGAGTAATAAATAATTGGTTCCAAAATTGAAAGCATTTTGACTCCAGTTCAAAACTTGTTATCATTCCGGAGGGTGCAGGGGAGGGAGAGGAAGTGAGCTTTTCTTCCCAGTAGGGAACTAGGAGAGGGAATTTCAGAATCTAAAAAACCTGATACTTAACTGTGCAGAGCATTGAACTTATAAGCTAGAAAAACAAGTGGAGAGGCAGTCTCCAAAGTAAGCAGAATCCAAATAAAGTAGCCCTTTGTAGAGAAAGATTAGTTGAATAAATCATTTTGAAACAAGGAGGAAGCCTGGAAGAATTGTGTGAGTTCCATCTCCTCCCAGACCACACAACAGAGACACTAGGTAGATGTTTGTGAGTGAAACAAATTTAGTGTCTTTGAGGTAAGAGGAGGTTTGGTTCTCTCAGTTCTGTGATGGGAAATAAGAGCTGGAGAGAAGTGAATGAAATAGGTCACTGAAATGCTTGTCAGCAAATTTCTGTAGAAATTATGAAATGACGCTTGCAAACCTGCAACTATTTCTGGGCAGTGGTGTCCCTCCTGCCATTAATATTACTGACACTACTCCTGCTTTTTTAATCTAGAATTTTACCATCCCACAACTGTTCTCTGAAAACTGGCAAGAAAAGGCTGCTAATGTACACCTGTTATCCAGTAGATAAACTTAGGGAGAATTGGCGGTTTTAATTTGTAGTAGTACTAGATGTGGAATGTAACTATAGTAGACAAAATGATTTCCATCTGAAAGATGAACTTAATCACTGAACTTTGTTTGCACAATATAACATGCAGGGAAGTAGTTTCTATTCACCAATATAAGAACTTTAAACTTCATGTAGGTTCAGCTGGCGGAAAAAGAAAGACGAATGAAGGAACTGGCATCACAGTTGGAACTCCTTACCAGTGAGAAGGTATTGTCGTGATTCCTGTTAAATTTTGTAAACTAAAACTTGTGGCGTTCTTTGGTTTGAGGAATTGCAATTTATTTTTAAGTGAGAATTTGTTTACTCTTTAAACATACTTTTCCATATTTGGATATGTTGCCAAAATGAATTAGCATTTTAAACTACAAATTCTGTTAATAATACTAATGTATTTTTTAAAAATGTATGTCATACTATATCAACTTGCCAAAACTGACTCAGCCTTTAAAATATTGATGTCTGTTGTTCTGTAATAGTATTCTAGAATATTTTGTACATACCATCTAACAAAAATGTTACAATGTCAAAAATTATTTCTTTATTCCTGACTAGAATGATATTCCATCCAGGATTTAAAATAATTATTTCTGTTTGCAGGTAGGGATTACTGTGTAGATTAATAATCTGTAGTTGCAGCTAGCTATACAGATCACAGAACACAGGAATTCCTACCAGTCTTGGTCCTATGTTCCTTTCTCGTCTCAGAAGCATCACTGTTTTTCTACCAAGTTTTCAGTGGACTTTCAGCCTGCTTCCTGCTTTACTCCTCTGTATCTCTTGGTGAAAGAGGTTCAGCCCTGTCGGTGTAGAGGCCGATACCAGCTTAGTGCATGTGCTGCTTGGCCAAATAGATAAGATTATTAATGAGCTCATGCTGCAGCCTTTCTGTCTTCTCAGGGAGCATCAGTTAACAAACCTAGTAGGAATTTCATTTCTTTGAGACAGACTCTCTCCCTGATACTTTCAGGAGTTACTGGGGGACAGGTGGCACAATTCGTAAACCTTGTTCTCTTTGGAATCCTGGTGTAAGACATGAATGGTACATCCCTAGTTTGACAGCTTATTTTTTTCCATCACTGGTTAGGATTGTTTTTGCTCTTACCCAGTGTTGTCCTGTAACTAGAGATGTAGACATTGCAATGGTATAATCTCCAGGTTTTTCTGATGTGTGCATACAACCGAATCCTTTTGACATCTGCGATTCTCTTACTGACTGCTTGTATAATAATAAGAGCAGCTTGACAGGTGACGGTAGTGACTTTGGTAAACTACAACTGGAAGAATATCTTTGTCAGAAAAGAAATATACACAAACAATGATTTTTTAAATATGTGATAGAAAATGGACTGCTGCTTTCAAGAGTGCACTGTCTAATTAAATTCACTACCATTACTATTAAACCAGACATTCTGAAATATTAATGCTAATGTTCTTATGTTGGAAGTACCTCTGTGGTATTATATGACAATTAATCAAAGCTAGGTTTTACTGAAAAATGAAATAATAAAATGTCTTTATTACATTCAGCTGGTATTGCGTGATACTGTGGACAAGTTAGGGTTGTTCACATTCCTGAAAAAATCCATTGTGAACAGATACTTAGTAAAAACAGGAATTTGCATACTGATAAACTGACAGAAAGCTAATTTCAGATTAAGCTAGTCAAGTGTTTTGTAAAGTTCTAGATTCTCAAGTAGCTGGTATTTAAATTACCTTTTTTTTAACCAAAGATGTAATTTTTAATAGATCTCTCTTATTTTTCTAATTCAAAAGAAAGCATAATAAAAGTTGAGTTTTGAGGAATCTAGTTTAGCTGGAGGGAGCAATTTTAAACACTACACATAAGAAGGAGAACAACTGTAATAATAATGTATGGAGCTTATAAAAGCTTGGAACTTTGTCTGCCGAATTTATAGATATTTACATTACAAAGAAGAATTAAAGTGCCTTGCGAGACTGGAACCATGATTTAAAAGGTTGAGCACAGTATAGTAAACAGCTTTTCAATTTGTACTCCATTATCAGTGTTTGTTTATAAATGTCACCAAACATAGCATGCTAAAAATGTGCATTTGCTGTCTGTTCAAACCTATAAAATTACTTAGTTTCTATTTTATTTACGTACTTATATAGCCTTTGATGATTTTTTTTTTTTTTCGATCAGTCTTTACCCTAGCAGTCCGACTTCTGGCTAAGGCTATTTTACAGCACCTTTTTACAGTCACTTTGATCTACATTCTGTTTTAGTCTTACGTGATGCTAAAATTAAAGCATAGTGCTACTGCCTCTCATTCTAAACTGCTTCCATATTGCAGAAGAAATTGATTTTAAAAAGGAAAAATCTTAATTTCACTGATAATTAATTATTCTTGCTTTGTATTGAGTAAAGATTAATTATTTAGATTTTACATGCTCACTAAAACTTTAAGATGTAATCCTAACCATTTCACCCTAGCCATTTCAATCAAATATGCACTTTAGTCTATAAATCTAAAGTAATGCTAGCATAGTTTTGTGTCATACCTACAGGAAGATACTTTACTTGCAGGGTGTGAGGCAGAAATTGTGTTGTCCTGTATTAGAAGGTTTTTCTAAAAGAAAAGAAACACAACTGTTTTTGTGGCCAGTGCTCTGAAAAGCTAACTTTGTGTAAGCTGCCTTACCATTTGTAAATACTACTTTTTTCCTGTTTGAAAATGACTTTATGTTGCTGTTGGAGTCCAAACCCTTCATGTCTGAAGCCTGATAGTACTTACAGAACAATAAATGTGTAATCTCAGTCTTTTTTCATTTGAGTAGTGTTTTGTTTTCAGAGTAGTTATTGCTACTTGATTTTGCATTTATGTATTCTAGCGTTTCAGCTGAAGTTTGCCTGTTTTTAAGAAAAATACACTGAGTTGTTCCTTTTAGTAACTGACACATTTTACTTCCCATGTAGTTAAATCGCTAATTGAAGTTTTGGGTTTAAGTTTCAATTTAAAGTCTTATAGGAAAAATGCGCACTTCCATCTTTGAGGTTTTTGTTAACGTTACATTAGCAAGTATTAAACATGAACCCAGAGAATCCAGAAGAAAATGCCAACGAGAAAGAACAAAATGATTGAAAAGTGTATCTGTCCTAAGTCTATTTTTTAATTATTATTTTCATTTTTACATCTTGGAATTTTTTTGCTTGGTTCTGAATTGCAAGTGGCATATTCCTTTGGGTATTGTTGGCATACATGCTCACTTTCACTTAACGCATTTTATTACATGGAAGGATGAAAAAGACTTATCTTTGGATGAATTACAGCTGATGCACTGACCACACTTAAGTCACTTTAATTACTGTCTTAATATGTGTTGGCTTAGAGTTTTAGCGATTTATAAGCTACAAAAACCCCTTAGTAGTTCATAGTAATTACTATGTCTCTATGGATTATATGCAAGAATCCAGAATTTTAAGTATATTTAATTTTTTTCAAATGTTCTATTTGAGCTTTTCTGAAAGAATTAATTGCCTTTCTGATAGAAATATTTAAACAACAGAATTAAAGCAAGCAGGCCATTAAAGCCCCTCAGTAAATTCAGCAATTTTATATTTTGGGTGCAAACACTGAATTTAGGAAGTAAGCTACATACATACCCTTGCTAAACTGTAAGTATACATACATACATATATAGATATAAAGTAGGTGAGGATATAAAGAAGGAGGAAGAAGGATGAATTAGAACTTTGCTCATGAAGGTCACAGAGAATTACTTTCCACAGGAAGTGTAACAACTCTGGAATCTGTGTATGAAAACACAACTTCTCATGGGTTTAAAACCCATTCATTTGTAATTAAACAGTAGTACAAATGCAGTTTTGTTCTGTATGATGCTTCTAGTGTAAGTATTTTTTGAAATCGGTAACCTAGTCTGGATTACCTTTGTGAAAAATAGCACTAATTTCTATATGTTAATATAAATAGAAAATACCAACTTTGAGTAATAGTATTCCTTCCTAGAATCAATTGTCTGAATGTTACCAAAGATAGAGAATTAATCAATCAGTTGAGTAGCTAGTTCTGAGTTTACATACATGTTTAGGGGCCTTTGCGTGATTGCTAGCGGCGTGACCGCCATACCTAGGTTATAGTCCAGAATGATAGAGTGAATTGTCCTCAGTCTGACCCATTTTAAAATTTTTGTTGTCGCAGTGTTTACATAAATCCTGTCGATGTAAAGTATCTGTAACGTGGTCTCCTTCAGCTCACCATCAGGTTAAAAATCTTGCCTGGATTTCAGTAGAACTGTCACACTTGCTGTAGCCCATTCTGGCCTTGACAGGAGAAACCTCTTCTCGCTGGCTTGCTGTGTACCCTATGACACTTTCTGCATGCATTTTCCTAGCCAATTGTTTTGACTGTCAGCCTCCGCTACATTTAGGAGCAGTTACTTGTTTATGCTTCCAGGATCCTTTCCAGGTCTTTCCTGACCTACCATTCTCTGTCTTCTTTCCGTCTCTATTCCAGTATCATGAATTGATTAATCTGTGAGACCATGCTTCATCATTTTTCTGTTACGTTTTCTAATGTGCGTACTTCTGTGTTTGTTTTTCTCTTGCTATTTTGTTATGTTTTGAGAGAGATTTCCACTGGGTAACTATTTTCTTGAGGGTGCTCCTGCAAACTAGCCTTTCCTTCATGCACACTAAGAAGCTGACAACTCCATGCTACTGATGTAGAAACTACTGCTTAACATGTTGACCTGTCTAATCACTTTATTGTTCTCTTCCCCTCCCCCTTTGATATACATCTAGATTGTAATTTTTTCATAGAGTACAGTCTGTCATTTTTGAATGTAAGAACAAAAAGGTTCTAACTGGATGATTAAGTCTGCTTTACAGTGCAGCTTGAAAGTGTTCTTGTATCTTCAGGCATTGCAAGCCACAAACCACTTGTCAGCCCTGTAGATAATACTGTATATTAACTGGAAAAACCCAAGCATTCCTTTTTCTTCTTTCTGTTCACGAAGAAGAGAAGCATGCAAAAATTTCAGCTGCATTAGTGACCGTTGATATAATGGTAATAGAAATATTTTGACATAATAATAACAATTAAAGAAACCCCATAATAATTACAAGTGGAACATGATCACCAAGCAGAATCACAAACAAGGACAAAACTGTTCCAACCTGTTTAACATATTTAAAAATTAATTTTTTTAAAGGAGCTGAGAACAAGGAAAAGTAATGGATCTTTGCCACTGTATGTATAGTTTTAGGTGAATGTGGTGGATAGGATCCCTGCATTTGAACAAAATAATTCTCTTCCAATTTTAAACACAGCTACATCTAACACATCTGCAAATAATGTACAGAGCTTAACATGCATGCATGAGGCTCTGCAAGTAAGGGTAACTCTAAGGAAGTTACATTGTAGAAAACAGGTGAGATGGTTTCTAAATTCTCTGATGGTTTCTTCCCCTGTGTGCATGGGAAGGACACTGAGCAAAAGATTGTTCTGATGTTCTTCATTTCCTACTGGAAGTGACAGCCTTGAGCACATCTTAGAGAATGTGAAGTTACACTTGGTGTAGGTCAACATGCTGCTGTTAGATACCAGAAAGGATCCAGTGCAATGCACTTAATAGTTCTTAAAATATCTGCCAGTCACGAATTCGTAGTGAATTATGTCAAGTATGTACATACATGTACTTCACATACTAAAATGGTACATTCGTGAGTGGTATCATATGATATGAAAAAAAATATTATTTTTAATTTAAAAAAACTTCTCTTACTGCATGTTATCTTTATTGTTAATCCACCTATTCTTTACCTATTTAACTGATTTGTCTTCATTTTAAAAAGGATGCAGATATTTCTTGAAAAATATGGCAGTTGTGTTTGTGTAATTTGAATTAACTAATGACAAAAAAAGAAAATTTCTTTAAAATATCTTCTTTGTATTTTCTTGTCTTCATTGACTGGTTTTGGTATGTATGATATATTTGGCAATACAGCAAGATGAAAAGACAGTGGGAAGGTTAGCAGATGTATTTTAAAAACAGATCTAAATATTTCATAAAAAGTCAAAATTTGCTAGGACTAGGACTCCATAGGTTAATCACATTTTAAACTTTGCATTATTTAGGGACTTGGCAGGACACCAGGAAATCAAGCTGGAAGGATGATGGAAGGACAAATTTCACAACAGACATTACATTTTCGCAACCCATATTCAGAGGAAAATGGACCAGTTCCTGCGGTGCCAAGCAGACTACCAGTACTGCAATACGGAAACCCTTACGCAATTCAGGAGAGAAGAGGTAAGTAAATTCCACTCCCCCACCCCAATATAACTTCTCTCTTGCTGTTTGAAAAGCAGTGGCTCACTCAATGCAGGTTGAGTATCAGCAGTCTTTACACTGGTGTACAGAGCCTTTATTGATTGATGAGAATCAATAATGTGCCTTTATTTTACTGATGAGAATCAATAAGGTAAACACAGTTTTAGAGACACCTTTTGAAAAAGGTGATTTCTCTTCTTTTGTTTTATCTAAACAAAAAATGTTTGAAAGTCTTGATATTTAAATGTGAGGTAGCACATCGGTAATCTCAAAATACAAACTCTACTGAACAAAGATGCTCTGATTAATTTTTCTTCAGATGGAGCAGATGGCGCTTTTAATCCTGATGAGATCCAAAGACCGCCTGTTAGAACTTCATTTTGGGAGCTGGAAGATGATGTAGTGTGTAGTCAGCCTTCACGCAATCTTAGTCGGCCTGACGGTTTAGAAGATCCTGAAGATAGCAATGCAAGTTACCTTTTTATTATTTTTTCTTCCTTGATATGTCTACTAATGAGTAAGCAAGAGTTGCACGTAGATTTTCAGTATCTGATAAGCCTGATTTATTGTTGTGTAAATCTGGAATTGATTTTTCTTTTCCCTGAACAATGTTTTAAGCAAGTTTTGCTTGCTTTCAAGGAGAAAACTCTGCACATCAATTCATTATAATATAGTCGTTCCCCCAGTGTACTTGTTCCCCCAGTCTCTTGAGTTACTGAGAGGCTTGTTTTGGTATTAGGACTGTATCTTCTGAATCTTTTTAAATACTAAAGTAGAAAACCCCAGGCAATCTCAGCTGATTTGTTTTTTTGTCTCCTGTGTGGTAGAATGAGGGCTCAAAAGGTAGCCATGTCTTACTGGTTTTATAATTTGTATGTAGGTACTAAATTGTAACAGAACAGATAGAAATTTAAAGGATTCTGATACTAGTATTTTCAGTTAAATGCTGAATGAAAAGGTGTATCGTATTAGATACTTAATCTCTTGTTGTGTCTTTCGCATTTATTAATTTCCATTTTGGATGTTTTATGCTGTTAGACACATATTTGGAAGAGCTAATTGACTGTTATCTGAAGCTGATTAAACTGAAAGTGACAGCTTCTCACCGATTCCTTTTTTAGGGCTTTGTATGTTCTGAGTAGAAACTGGTTAGCTTTTCTTTTTAATACAGTTAACTTGCACACTCTGGTATAAAAAAAGGTTTTGGTAAATTGGCTTCTGTAATAAACTGGGCCATATGCCTTCACTTGAACAGGAACAGACTTACTACTCTTTCTTATTCTAAGTGCTCTTGCACCTTCAGAAATATTAAACAAGAAATACCTTTCTGCAAAGTATTGTGCTCTTTGCAAGTACAGTGGTATCATGACCTGTTTCTCATTTAGTCTAGTTTGCCACATTTAATTGCTATTAACCTTTGCAGAAACTGAGCAGTGTTCAGACAGGCATGATTTTAGCCCTGGTGCTCAGCACCTATAATGGAGAAAAATGTATTTCTTCCTCCTACCTTTTGCCCCCAGTGTCCATTACTGTGAATAATTAGAGGAACTGTCAGAACTTTTGCAGCCTGTTCAAGATCTGGAATGTGAGCTTAATGCTGTTGCCCACCTTTACTTCACATTTTGCATATTTAATCTGATCATTCTTGACGTAGATATTACAGATGACAAGCTCTTCTCTTCTTTAGTCATCTGCTTCTGTTTAATTAGCAGGGTGTTCTTTCTGATCTATGTGCTTTGCCCTCTTGCAAACCGAAGAGAAACAGTGCTAGAGTCTTGTGCTCATTTGCTGACACAGCTTGGATTTCTGTAATGAGATGGAATATAATAGGCTTAAATAAAGTTCAGCTTGAGAAAAGTTGCCTTAAATAAAATAATTTATGTCTTTATTTTTTTACTTTCAAATGAGAATCAGTTGCTTGGTCTTCTCAAAAATAGACTGTGTATGTAGTGTATAAATTTACATGGAAGTGAGTAGTTGCAAGAATCTTTCTAGAGAGACATAGTAATATGCCAAAGATAAAACAGTTGTAGTGCAGTACTTAAAGAAATAACCAGGGAAAACTTCCATATATGTAAGTGATTCATTATAAAGGAGAGCCTGTTATTTGTGCAGAAGAAACAGCAAATATGAAACTGTAAATACGAAGAGATTACCATTTGTTGTACTGTTATTTAAAATAAGCTGTTTAGGATGTAATTCTGTGCATTTTTAAGCTGGTCCTTTTGTTGGAGGAGGATTCCCTCTCGGAAGAAAAGGACTGGTAAACTTGCTGCTTTGTTTAAAATATTACCATTGTATGGACTTCTGTCGTCTTCCTCTCCATGTTCCTATTACTACATGTTGTATTAGTTTAAGAACTCGAGGATGTTGTAGTCACTTCCACCACATCATGGCTGTTTTGGTGGCGGTTTGCCTATGATGATGAACATGTCTACAGTATTTATCTAAGATGACAGATCTTTGAGACCTTGAGCCAATATTATGATATGTAGGAGAATGAAGTAGATGTATACACACAACTGAAAATGGACTTTTCAGATATGACTAAAATAGGCTTTCTTCAGTCTATAAGGTGAGAGTAGGGAAGTGTGTATGTGCATGTGTGAGAGAAACTTTGCAACTTACTGCTGCAGAGGGAAAGCCAGAAATGGGACCTCCTTTCATTTAGGGTGTTCAGTCTAGCCTAGGGAATAGGTCAGCAAACAATGAGGGGTCTAGCAAGTCAAACTTACCTGCTGTAGTTGCTGTTCACATTCCTGTGCAGTTGAGTAACTTCATAAACGATCTGGGTGATGGAGGAGAAAACTTGAATGTTTCTCCCAGAAATGTTTTTCTAGACAAGGAATTAGGTAGAATTGCTTCAAACCTACAGACCAAATCTCGGCAACTGTTACTACCTTGACCTTCTTTCACTGTAAATGTTGAGTTACTCGATTTCCAAATGTGATGTGTCTTCCTTTGCACCGGGGGAAGAATCTGGAATTTGTCTTTGCGCATTTGTCCATTTGCACGTTTCCACTCTGCATGTTGGTAGCCCTCCAGTTTTAAAGGCTTTGCCTTCGTTGGACCGTTCGGCACTTCAGCAGCTCATACAGCGGTATTTGTGCTGTGAATTGGCGTAAGTGGAGTACCTGCTTTCTGGTCGTCTGTACTCTGACGTTTACTCGAGACAGAATTCTCTTCCAGTTTGTTCAGACTTTCATTTTGCCTTCTTGCTCCCATTTTTTATTTCTTTCTGGATATTGTTTTTGCTTTTTTCTGCTAACTTCAAACATGTTTGACATGTGGTAGAGGTGTTAGGTACTGACTTCTCACAGTTTTTTTGAGAATTGCTTGGGGGAAGAGAGACCTTAATAAATTCTTGTTCTAGCAGGTAGCCAACGGCTGGCTAATAATCCTGAGTATGGCTGCAAACTGGTCACCAATCCAACTAAACAGGAAGAAAACATGAGACAGTGTGGGGGGAGAAGTGTTAGGGGGAATGCAAGACAAATCTGGAGACAGTCAGGACTCCTTAGTTCTCTTTTTTGTGGTAAAACTTGATTCTCTTCCTTGAACTGAAATTGTCCTTTTTAGTGGAATACCTTGGACCTGTCCAAACTGATGCGAACCTTCTGTACAGGAATCCTGGGTGTCTCCTTATTTTTGAAAAGTCTTCATGCGGTGTTTTTGTTCGTTATTTGTTTAGTTTGTTTTTAATGCAACCTGCTTCTTTGTCAGTCTCGTAACAGACTTGTTTGAGGTGCTGAGTGCACTTTTGCCTAAAGGAATCTTGTGTTCCTGGGTAAAGATCCATTTATATGCTTTTTGTCTTGTACTGAAAAAGATCCAACTCATGGTACCTTGTCTGCAGTATATGAAAAAGATGATGTTTCTATTCTGTGTCATTAGAATTGTAAATTGCTTGCTATTATGGATCAGCCATAGTTTTCTGCATCAACAGAAAGATTCTCCTCCTTTTCCCTTCCCAATGAAGAACTGTCAGCCTGTTGAGCTAATGCAGTGGCCATCACATGTACTTTTTAGCAATGCACCTCTTAAAAATCGTCAGTGAGACAGCCTCGGTCGATCTTTCAGCCTGTCCCAAGGAGGAAATGTGAGTCTTTCAGTTCTGTTAATAGACTAGAGGTGTGGCACGAGCTAGTAACTGTCCTTTTGGTTGGCGATGGGGAAGAAGGGTGCCAGCTTGGTCTCTGTTCACTCACTGCTTCTTTCTCATTCCACTGTGAAAAGTTCTGTAGACTTCACAAGAGTGAGGCAGGATTTTTCCACAGCCCTGTAGTACTGGATGGGTGCTACGGTATGTACTGTTCGCAGTCATGGACGGAGAGACATCCCAGATGCCCTAAGCTCACTCCAAGAGGATTGTTTTCATGCTAAAGTTGCATATGAATTATTTTCCTGTGGATGCTTCTGTACTGCAGCTAATGATTTGATCTTCAGTTCTGTGGAGTACAGCTACTACCTTTGTAACCCCCTATAAAGTCATTTTGGCCTTCCTGCTGGTACGTTACAAAATTCTCAAGCTCATGATTGAGATGATCCTTCTGCTGAGGCATTTACTCCTAATGTGACCTGAACTTGGTTTCCATATTCCTAAGGAGAACGCTGTTTGCTTTTACCCCAGGTGTAGGAGGCTTCCCTCTCTACTTCTCGGTGAAGACTTTTTAGTTACTGGCCGTTATCTTGAGTAGCAATATAAAAGCAGGTGATGGTGATGCTCCTGCTGTACTGAAACTTAAGGTGTTTTTACTGGCCTCGGTTACTCTGAGTTGTAGACTAAGTAAGGATGCATCTGCAGATGCATCAGAATTTTGGTTTAACGTTGCCATTGTGTTCGATTTTTCTTTCTCCCAAAACTTTGTTCCTTGGGATTGAGCACTTACATGTATTTGGTTGATGTGAAAAAACATCAGTTCTATGTGACTCGAAGACTTTCATAGATTCGGCTTTTGGAACTCTTAGGCCAATTAAACCGTGATTTCTGAGCGGGGTAAGCTGGTCTGTGTTAATCGTGCCAGATGAGCACATGCACAGTGGTGATTTTGTGTAGAATAGTTGACTTGCCACCATCGTCTACTCAGCACTAACTTTCTATTTGCTCATGCTCCCATAATTGACCAAAATGTAATCATTTGGAGCAAATAATTTCTAAAATACCTACAAGTATGTACAGGAGAGAGCCATAAAAAATGCATATATATATATTTAAAATACTAAAGTATGAGTCTTAGAAACGTAGTCCTGATTACAGTTGGCAGCAAGCCCAGAATAACTGTCCTGAGACTCTTAAACAATGTTGTTAGTCACAGTAAATTGGGGGGTGGGGTGGGGGTGTCACTTTTGACAACTGACAACCAGGTCAGGGTATTTTTTGAGATGAATCCAAAAATGGCCTTTCTTCTAGCAAAGAACCCCACCGCACGCTGTTAGCCTGACCTTACCCTGGCAGCCAATTCCTATCTTTTGCATAGGACAGACATGAAAGGAGCAGTCGGTGCCCGGGTACTTCTTGGGAGACCAGACTACTTGCAGAGAGGTGGAGAGACTTAAAAGGGGTTGTTTTTTTTTTTTTGTTTGATTTGACTTCAACAGAGCTTAATCGCAGAAGGAAAATGGATGTCCTCTTCTTGCCAGTGTACCTGTGCTATGTGTTGGCGGTGTGGGGGTTCATTTGCTGTTTAAAGCTTGAGATGGGAATCGCTTCGCTTACTGCTGCGTGTTAATGTGGTCTGTAGAAGTCAGAGGTGGGGATTGGTCAAGTCTGCAGGTGTTGTACAGTGTCACGCGGCTTTGTTCCTCATTCCTGTTTGGCAGTCTTGGAACTGATGCCAGTTGTCACCGTGAAGGCAGCACCTGAGAGGAAACTGGTTAGTTTTGGTAAAACTAGGTGAGTTGTGTTTATCTCTGAGAGTTAATGCCTAGCTTTCCCTTCTTCCTCTTCTAGTGGCAAACTTCCTCTGTTTTACCATGCTTTATTGTGCAATGCTGCATTTATCTTTGATCCGTGTAATCTGTGGGGCTTCTGTGGCAATTTGAAAGAGTTACAGTCCAGTGATAATAGTTAAGTCATGATGTTAAAGGCATCCTTTATTAATTCGTTAACCTAATTATCCAAACCTGGCATTTCTTACTCTTACATAAGCACAGTGCCAGCCTGTGGGTACCGGGTACCAGACTTCTCATGTGATACCAGACCCTTTTCGTGTGAGGCCACGTACCAATGGCGTTACATCACTGCTGGGCACTGCGGAGGTCCTGGTGAAGTATATGCAGCCACCCTGGTCATCAGTCTGCAGTGCACGAAAGCTGGCTCTGGGGCTACACAAAGGGCAGATTAAGCTGTCGCCTCCTCAAAATATGGAGTGTGGGCTTCTGTCCAGATGATTTTCAGGACTTGACCATGGGGTCTTGAAAGCGAGCTGATGCCTGCGCTTGAAATGCAGCATAGGCCGAATCATTGAGGCCTGGCCTCCCAGCAGTTATCGTCAAACTCTTTCTGTAAAACAGCTTAAAGCAGCCTTCTCGTTTCGGCTTTTGAGTCTTCAGGGGATGGCTTGCTTTACCCTGGGAGAGAGGAAAAGCATGTGTAACATCATTTATAAGAATAAAGAGTGCGTTGTTAGTTATACTAGCTGGAAGAAACCGGGCGCGAAGTGATGGTGAACCAAGATGAGTAAGATCCGTCCCCCCTGCGTATAGTTCTCTGCTTTAAAGGGTGCACTTCAGGAGTTTTGTCCATTTGAAGTGACAGAAATAGACAGCTGTCGGGGTCCAATACAATGGGACATTTTCCAGGAGTTCCAAGTTACCCCAGGGCAGTGCATGAGAACTTTTAGTTATCGGTGACTGTCTGCTGTTTAGCATAACCTGTAATTAGAGCAGCTGTGAAGTACTCTCAGACCAAGATAAAGTTCTCATCGTTACTGTCTGACCATTCCGTAATTACACAGTAATCTCTGTAATGAGTGGTGTGCTCAGTATAGATTTGCTTTCTGCTTGTTTGGGTTAAACATAACAAAAGGTTAAGAGCAGAGTGAGCTTTATAGACTTGGCCAAGAGCAAAAGTACACTGAAGAGAAAGACTTTCCATACCTTCACAGCGCCATATCCATACCTGTTCAGTGTTGTCATTCGTAGATGGTGCACGGGTCAGAAGCTACTATGAGGAACACACGGTATGATTGTTACAGGTAATTGAACTGGGCCAGGAGAAAGCTATATCCTTAGGACATACCAGACTTAACGTTGCTCTGAAATCAGAAAAGCCTGTTTGTAGAACTGCTAATAACTTGCCCTTGCCTTGTGTTGAAGCTAGTGCCTACAAGGCCGCAGTGCAGAATAGTGCACGTGTGGCCACGCAGAAGAAAGCATCACACTCTCTTTCAAATGAATTTTTCATGAAGGAGTGAGGAGGAATGTTACATTTGTACGTGGGACGGTATCACAGTTGCCAGAAGCGGAAAGAAAGGACAAAAGAAGTAAGAAAATTTTATCTTACCAAGTAGCATTAACCAAAATGTTTTTTTTTTTTAAAAAAAAAAGGAGGGGAGGCAGGATATTTCTCCTAACTAAATAGCTTTTTGACTGCTCTTTAAATTGTGACTGCTTTTGATTAGTCCTTTACTTTGATAGAGCCAATAACTGTAGCTGAGGATTAATATTCAGTAGAAAATTTTAAACCTCATCTCTAGTAGGCTTAGTAGGGATCAAGAATCAGAAAAGCTGAGTTAGGTAATGTATTTGTGAAATGAGCAAGTATTGGCATTTAGAGCTAAAGGTCATGCTTGCTTTCATAAGCAATCTGCCTTAAACTTTAATTCAGATTGAGAGGATGCAGAGGCCATGGTGTGGGCTGTAGTGTATTCCAGCTCTTTCTGATGTAAACTGTTTCCAAGAAAATGAATTAATTGGGAGTTTTGTTTCCTGCTTAGAGGTAGGAATCAGTATCAGAGTACTGTTAGATAATAACACCAAATCAAACTATGGGGAGGTGGAGAAGAGGAAAAGTAAAACCAGTGAACTAGTCTTAAAGATCAAGAAGTCACCTTGTGGAAAGTGACCAAGCAAGATAGTCTGTTGTTGTTGGATAAGAAGGGGCAGCAGATCAAGGTGTTGAAAGACAAAGATAAATGCTGGCTAGCTGATCTTTGGCAGATCAGTTCCACTGATACAAGAACACCTACAGGGAGGCTGCAGAGCACTGAAATGTCATTTCACTGGTGCTTTTAATAGCTATTTACAGTCTTTTGGAGACTAGCCAATTATTTGTTGTGTCAGCTTTGTTTCTAAGATAATAAAAAGCTATTTGATTCTGTGTGATTTCTGAGGCTTGGCCGCTGGTGAGTTTGTCACTTAAGTGATTTCCAGAAAAGTCGGGATCTGTACCTGGGCATGAAGTTGATGCGATTTTCTGAGTGCATCATGGTCTGGTTTGTGTTTAGACCAGGTCATCCTTGGTGTGTAATAATACTTGTGCCTGTACTGCTAAGACATCTGTTTACTGGGGATTTGAGTGACAATAATGAAACAGTACTATTGGCACAAACTCCTAACCTTTTTTTTTTCTTCACAGGGATTTTTTTTTTTTTGTATCTGTAGTGGTGAGCTATCTGACAAACTGTGCAACCTCAACAGCTCCTGATATATAACAAGTCTGAAGTCTTCTGTCTTTTTTTGTAGTAACCTCACCTCCAGTTCTGTATGGAAGAAGTAGGCTGTTGTGTTCTCCCGCATGCAATACCTTTCATTCATATGTTCTCCTAGCTCTCTTTGTATATTGCCTGTCCCCCAGCTGTCCTGCGCAAGAAGTGGCAGTCAGTGTGACCCTATGGCCTGTTCAAATTTAAATGCTCGTGGGTAGACAGGTTAACTACAGAACAAAGCTGATGAGTATTGGTTGTAACCATTCTCTTAATAGGAGTAATTTTGAGGATCTCTTCACTAGCCCTTTTCTAGACAGATACTGATTTCTTAGGAACGTGAAAGAACTTGATGTCTTCTAGACCCTTTGCATCTCCTTTTGCATACTGCAAGAATTACAAATTTATTTTTTTTGAGGAACACTGTGATTTCTTCGGAGCTTGCAGCATGATTCTTGTTCATGTTTGCGTGGTCTCCTGCTG